TATATATATGTGGATATGTAGACATTTACAAGTAAAACCAGACATATTAATATATACAAATGTAAACTGGCCAGTTTCTCTAACGGTGAAACGCGTTCCGCAAGAAACAACCCCATAAAATTGACGAGTAACGAACCTGCCTCCTTAGCATAAACATTTGCCTCCTCTTGGCCTTGGTGCATCAAGTAACAAAAACTGAGAGAAACAGATGCTGCTGTTTGATGCCTTCTTCTTATAAGACTCAGAGATAATTAAAAAATAAATAAATAAATCAACAACAACAAAAAGAAGAAATTGTAGTTGTAGTAGAAGCACTTTTTTTTAGTATTAATCGGTAGCGGATGGGAGGAAAAATGTGAGTTATAAATGTAAAACGAAATCGAAAGGCCGTGAAGAGGTCATTTCTTATCGTTACGAGAATCAAAACGCGGACAAGTTTTGTAGTAGAGTTTATATTACTCCGAAATATGTATATAAAATTTTACTTTCACTCAACGAGTTTCGGGAATTCGTGACAGTTTTGAGTAAATAAAATAAAAATATAAATTCAGTGGATGTGGATGTAGAGATAAATATGAATATAAAATGAAATAGTTGTAAAAAGTAAAAGCCACACGCGTGAGACACATATAAGGATAAGCGCGCGCCATCTGCTCCCTGAGAGTCTTGTCATTTTGGTTTATAACGTTTTATGAGGGTTTGATGCCCCCAAGGTGCATTATAATTGCCGTAATAAATCCCAACAGGCCAGCGACATTACAACCGTTCGCAGGTAGTACGACAAACCGAAAAAGATGTCTCGAGATCTCCAGTGTAGACCACTATAACTATAACTATAACCTGTAAGCTCCAGTCTACTCAATTTCGATTGGATAAAAGACAACTTCCTCAGTTTTAATTAAAATTTTACTTTCCCTCCGCGTGATGGCGTCCGAATTATTTTGCTGTGCATCCCGTAAACAAAAAGGCCGAAAATGGACAACAATAGGCTTGCTCTCTTTGCGTTGGAGATCCCGCAGCGGCTTTGGCAACCTAACCTAGAAGTGTTGCGCCACCCATCAGGTACTTAGCTAAACACAAGACTGGAACAGCACAGCAGTACAACCGCGAGTTTAAAGTGGAACAGCATAGAAGTGGAAGATAAAAGCTGAAACGAGTGGAGTGAAGAGCTCAGAGGGCAAAAGAGTGGAAATAAAGGTATGGAAAAAAGGGCCCCAACAATGAGAGCCGCCGGACCCAGCAGGATACACCCGTGGCACGTTTTAGGCACGGCACGATGCACCAACCAACCAAGTTAAGTTTCCATGCCGTGAAAGAAGAATCGTGTGTGTTGCCTAAAGCCCTCCTGCGTTGTCTCAACCTTGTGTTGTGCCCTGTACGTTGTATATGTATATAGAGACTGTAGAATGTAGAATGCACGGGTGAGTATGAGGACCGTGGGGGATAATGGTAGAGCCTATTGAATAGATCAATTTACAATGGCACAAAATGAGCATCGCCCTTCTCCACATCACCCGTCTGTCTCTTTCCCTCTCGACAACATTGCAACCACTGCACTCCCATCACCGTCTCTTTCTGTCCTTCTCCTCACAAATCTATGTACATACAAATAAATATAAGTATGCATGACGTATGGATGTGCGCAGTTGGTGCGCGCGAAATAATCCGTCCACAGCATGCGGCCCTTTGTCCTATCAACTTAGGGTCCTATCTCATATGCTCCATCGTCGACTTTATCACGCGTACTGCACACAGTTTACGCAGTAAATGCTTGCTGTATTTTATTCTATAATACAATAATACAATAATGAATACATACATTGGAGAACTGAGTAGTTGTTGTTCCAACTAAGAGTTCTGCTGTGTTGCCCACGGATTAGCGGTATCCAAAAATTCCCGCAAGAGGATTGTCACCTGTTACTCCTTTATCTTTGAATGTACATGTCATTTATATAAACATAAATAGCCATTACTGTACACGTGATAGGTACTTGTGAAAATATGACAAATTGATGATGTATAGATAGCATTTAAGAAGCTGACGATTACCAGCCAGAGCCAAGAGAAGGATGCCCATTGGAATATCCAAGTAATGTGTTAAGCACCACCCGGCAATCCATCACCGACGTACATACACACTAAATGGAGATGGGATGGATGCAAGAAAATTTTTTATTTTCACTGAGAGCAATAAATAATTGTTGGGGTCAAATGCTCCATGTTGGTATGCAAAGTTAAGTGTAAAGAAAGTTATGCTCAGCTCAAGATATCGACGGATAGGAATCTCCTCTGCAATTATAGAGACGGGTGTTTGTGTGTCCGTTCGCTGAGCCGCGACAAAGGGCATCAAAAACACGCTAAATATCCACCAGTAATGTTATCTCCAGGCAGATTGTATTGAGGTTTGCTTTTTCTCGGTGGGAGAGTAAGAGACGCGAGGTCTCAGCAACGTGATACAGCCGGTGGTTGCCGAAGACTAAAACCCTTTGATGAGAATTTTCTACCTGTCCCCTAGTAGGTACCGGTACCGGTCTCAGTCTCAGTCCCGGGCTAGCTGAGAAAGAACCGAGAAAAAACGGGGAAAAAAAATCTAAATAAATAAAATAAAATAATGTGAAGGTTCCTACGGACCCATTGAACTCCGAGCACATTATATATTGTGCCTTGAAGAATATCGTCTATCTTGAATTCTCGTCACCGCGTCTCTCAGGTATTTTTGGGTTAATATGCCTGGGTGTTTTTATTAGACAGAACGAGAATCTCGTTATAACTTAGCTCTGTTATGCCATGCCATGCTCTGAACTTTATTTTTCGTGGCCTTATTTTTTGTTTTGTTTTTTTTTTTTTTCTTTTATTTTCTTCTAACAAACATTTGTGCCTATGTATGTATTATATGGGAATGTAAGTATGTGTATGTATATTATACAACTTTGAAAAACACATTAACAATGTAATTATGAGTAATCTAGTGAGATGATAGTGATGTGGGTCTTATCACTGTTATCAAATAACGATGCTACCTTCTTCTGTAATTTAAGTCATATCACTGCTACCTGAATTACATCAGTTTTTATTTTATTTGTTAGATTTTATGTACATATCATCTAACGATGATTACCCCCGAGCTACTATATATATATATATATGTGTGTACTATTATTTTTACAAAGTGTCTATGTGGATTTAGAACATGTCATGAGTCATTATAATAAAAATAAAACTTCGTGATTAAATATCTTGATTCTGATGATAATTATTAATGTTGGGTGTGATATTGAAATAAGTATCGCTATATAAACGAAATATAAAGTGAATAATATATAATATGACTGTTTAATTTAAGAATAATTGTTTTTAATACACTGTAAAAAATTAGGAGTAAATTTAGATTTCAATCCAAAAAAAAAGAAACACTATTTTATTATTTTTATCTTATAAAAAAAAAAAGAATTTATTCCGTAAATTTTTTTTGACAGTATTAATAAAATTCTTCTCGAAGTAAATTTCACTCCAGAGGGATTAAATCAATTAAAAATCATCACTCCACAAATTTTTTACAGTGTACATATGTAGTTAATATATATTTCTTTTTGCATTCTGATGGATTCAGTAAATGCGTGATTTAGCCACGTGTGCTCACTGGAATGTAGACGGTAAAAATGGGTATAGGTTTTAAAAAGAGCCCGAAACCACGGCGAGAAGCTCGAGTTACCTACGTGTCCTTGGGGAGCACCTCAAGAGAGTTTGAGCTTATAGAAAACCAAGTAGTAAAAGATCACGTGAGAAATAATGCCGAGAGGCTGTGGAGTGCTCACTAGATATAGCATACAGTATAGAGTATAGAATAAGATGGATACACTAAAAATGGAGCGAGTAAATTTAAAATAAGGGAATTGGATTCTGATTTAACAGGACTCAAGAGTGTCCTAGTGAGAATTCAAATGTACCATGATAATAAAAATCACTGATTTGAATTTTAAATTTCACTCGAATAATTTTAAAAAAATTCTTACCTGTTTAGAGAAAACTGCAATGTCCTCATTGAAGCTTTCAGACGAACAAACGTCGCCACCCGCTACTCCAGGTTCTCGGGGTGTACATGTTGCCAATTCGCATTTCTCGAATATCAATGCGAGCAATGGAAATAACGGATGTCTGAAAAACAAGAATAAAATCCATTTAAATTTATTTTCTTCACATCTTTATAAAATAATGATACATAATCTAATATAGTCAGTAGAATAAATTTTTTCTAAACACTGGATGTTTTTGCCTGGTATCTACATCAGCAAGGTCAACGCGGGCACGATTAAAACGCGGACAACCATCGCGCAAGAAATGAAATCTAGCGTGAAGCATCCGAACGAAAAACTTTCTGTTTCTTGCTCAGAACTTTTTCTTCTCAAACTTCTTGCTCTGTATCTGCCCACTTATATTATAAATACTCATACTCACACGCATATTCACATAAATACTAATACATAAATTTTTTTTCTAAAAGTTGTCGAGAATAGGAGACCCTACGCGGTCCGACGGAAGCCGCTCTTGGCCAGGCTGCTCCGAGGAATATTGTAACAGCTGTTTATCGTTTGGTCCTCTATATCTGACCTACCGTTTGTATTTAGCTATGTCACTTCATCTCACTACAATGCTATATCCATAAAAAAATTAAATTCCAAAGTCTTTTCTGATTCTCATAAATATCTATGGAAAATAACAGAGTAAATATTTATTTTTGTTATAAATAAAATCATTTCTCCCCTAAATTCTCCCCAAGAGATTTTTGAACATCATCCAGGGCTTTAATGTGTTATATAACTATAACAAGAATCACGTTTGTAGGTAAATATAATAAAGTCAAAAAAATAAAAGGCAATAACGAGAGTGAACTGAGTACCCTAGAGAGGATTGAGGGATAAGATAAGATTAGCCTCGATGCAACGCGTTCAGAGTTTCATGTGTGTATCATGTATAATATAACAACTAAACGTAACTTGAATCTTCATAACACCAGTGAAGTATCGCACACAGTGCAACGACCTCACAGATCAATATCACAATCAATCTTCTCACAAATAAATACATAATAATAACAAGAACAAGAAATTTTTTTATCTCTGGGCAAAATCTGCATGCATATTTTTTTGCTTTACTATTCTGATAAATATGCATTGAAGAAATAAAATATTAGAAATAGTTAAAAGAATGTTTGCGATTCGCCATCAGAGAATCTTAATCTTAATCAGTGACCCGCGAGTAATCAGAACGAGGACTAGGGGTCAAGTCGCGGATGGTAGCATGTGTAATGTGTTCAAAGATCCTTAAGCCCTGCTGGCTTACTACTGTTGGTGAGTAGTAAAGGTCTGGTAGGTAACTTCACGAGTATAGTGGCGGCAGGGCATAAAACGATTCGGAACGAATGTCGACAAATTGACGTACCAGCAGTGAGCACCGAAGAAATGAGCTGGAGAATGGCGAAACCTTACTACCAATACTGCCCCCAGTGCTATTATACTCTTCGTTGTATCAAGGCGCTTTGCTTTTTGCCGGCTAAAAACTCTTCAGATGCTAGATGGTTCTTTTGCGCACTTGGGTTGGTGGTGTTACTTTTTTCGAGCAAAAAGTAATGCAAGGATTTGTATTCATTTATATTTTTTACAGTGCACGCAGAAAAAAATTTTGTTAAAATAACTTAAGATATGTTATGGTAACAAATGAATTTGTTAACATAGGGATAACAAATCATATGTTAAAATAACAAAATTTAGGTTATGACAAGTTATTAATATGTTATAACAACAAAACAGTTTTGTTGCTATAGCAAAATCTTGAAGTTGATTCGACAAAATACTTTAGTTGGTATGACAAATTTTTTTGTTGAAACAGCAAAATTATTCTATTAAAATAACAAAAAGAATTTGTTGGAGTAACAAAGATAATTTGTTGAAGTAACAAAGAGAATTTGTAAGAATAACAACCAGAATTTGTTGAAATAACAAATAAATTTGTTACAGTCAATTTTATAAGAATACATTTAAAAAGCAACAAATTAGTTTTGTTATTGCAATAAAATCACTTTGTTACTGCAACAAAATTACCTTGTAACAGCAACAAAATCATTTTGTTGCAGCAGCAACGTCATTTTGTGATAGCAACAAAATGATTTTGTTAGAGCAACAAATTTACTTTGTGATTTAACAAACTGGTTTGTTAGTACAACTTGAAACATTTTGTTAATACAACTAATGGATTTGTTGCTATCACTATACTCATTTGTTACCAGAACATATTTTTCAGTTATCCTGTCTTTTGTTATTTCAACAAAATCGTTTTTATGCGTGTGGAAATTGTTAATTAATAATTGCTGCTATGAAAAAAATTTCCAACAGAGGGCGCATTATCACTGAACTGTCTTAATAAAAAAAGTTGAGTTCTAAAATACAATTAATTTATTTTACTTTATTAACGAGTTTATCTAAAATTGTAATTTAGTTTAATCAACTACTATATGATATGTTGATTGATGAAAAAATTTTTAGAAAAAGTGAAAAATTGTAATAAGTTATTTTTCTATTCTGATACATAGCATTATATAACTATATATGAAAATTTTTTCATGGATTAAGAGTAAAAACGAAGGTTCTTTGTTGGTAAATAAACAAGGTGTCAGTAATACGACCGCAGAAGTAATGATATGATTGGTTGTTGAACGTTGTTTAGGGAATGATGCGGTTTTGCGGTTTTCAGTGCTCTGTACAATTCATCGGCTGGATTATTGTCCTTCCCCTGTCTGTTTTGTTTGATGATATTTACCTATTATGTCACGCGTATTATTCGATTGTTTCGGTAAAAGTTGAGATTTTGTTCTGAATTTTATAAAAAAATTTTATTTCCAAAGATAGTTTGGCAATCCTGAGGATTAAGATGGACGTATTTGGGTGCAAAAATATTATTTAACTGCAAAAACAGCCGTGAAGCCACGAGGCACCCGAGCAAATCAATATACAATGATTTCCGTGGATTCATTGTCGGACAAAGGATATAAATTCACGAAGCAGACAGCTCCGAGTCATGAGAAAACGAAAAAGCTAAATTTGTAATAAAAAAAATTAAATAAAAGAGACGAATGCTCATCACGGTACAAACTGCACGAAGCTTATCAATTATCTCTCGGGCATGGACCGATACCTCCGTTAGCCACAAAGTCAGCCAAAGATAAATAGAAAAAATAAAAATAACAATAACAAAATTACCCGCCAGCCGGTCAACAAATAAGAGAAATTTTTACCTTCACTTTAAATATTCACATACATATTACGGTTCATTTAATCGATCATCGATTTTCACTTGAATAAATAAATTATTTATTAAAAATCCAAACACAATAATTTATCCTTATCTCACGATAATTATCGTTCATTCTCGTTATTAATTATTTCACTAATTTTTTTTAATTACCTCAATTAACTGTCTATTACTCGTTTTATCGATAACATTATTATGTTTATCTTTAATCCCATAATAAAATTGAGATGAAATGTATGTGGCATCAAACTATTCGTAACGTGATTGGTCGAATATATCATAAGCATGAAAATATATGCAAACCCTATAGTTAGGCGCGCGCCTGCGCGCGCAAAATTCAATTCTAGTTACTTAATTAAAAAAAAAACATAAATATTTGGAAAATAAAATTATTGAAAAATTGCTTTTTTAAATTTGGGCGTTCTTCAAAAAAAAAAAAAAATAAATAAAAAAAAAATAAACTCAGTTACGAGGTCGGGCACACGACTGGACAAATTGTAGGTTTACCTTTAAAATTATAAGCTCCCGTTTCGCGAGGGTCACATATAATACTATATTATATATTATCATAATCTACAACCAAAATAGAGGGAAGAAGATCCCAAGATCTCTATCAATAAATCACGAAATTTCATCCTCAAACATTTAATTTAAGTATGTCGCGTTTTTACAAAATGAAAAAACGGCCAAAATCATCCATAAAATTCATTTTATTCTCGACTCATCACGACGATCATATCATCTCTTTCTGCAGCCAGCCCGAAGAAAAAGTTGCCGTCACATAAACGTATATAAAATATAATACCTTGGCATCAAGTAAAGGAGTAGCAAAAAAAGTAAAATAAAATAACAAAACAAAAGTGTGCTCTTATTTTTCACTGCGCCAGGTGCACAGGCATCGAATTTGCCCTTGTCTGAACTCATGTGGCCACCGGTAGCCTCTCAATTACGCATCGTATATACAATGAATACCTACACATACCTTACCATGGATAAAAATATATCTATCCAGCGCAAACAAGTAGGAATTTTAATTAAAAAATTAATTTATCAGAAGTCGATCGACGCTTGGATGCAGATTACCGGACGCGATGCCCCTCTGCATTCTCTTTATCCACATAAATACATTTACAAACATCAACAAATATATCTATATTATTTTCTGTATATTTATTTGGAATGTTATATATAAATTTTTTGTGCAATTTTTTAATTAACACAACGTGTACGGGGGGAAATACCTTATTAGAAAACTCACCTCAATGGGTGATATGTCCGCTCGTCTGAGGGATCACACCATCGTCTTCGTAGTTGTCGTCGTGGCACACGATGTCTCTATCATCATGACACTCACACCCGTATACGCACACATAACAGCGCGGGAGAATAAAAAAGTCAATTAACGCTTCTGCTGAAGAATTAATTATTGCATTTTAAATCACAGAGGCCGCTTTACTTTACTCTACTCGTTTCTCCTCATTATCTTTCCATTCCTCCCATACACATATACTTCTCAGCCACTCTTAATCTTACTCTTACTCTTAATCTTTCTCATATAAGTAATGTATGTACTATAGTTAAACTTTACCCATACGACATACAATATGTACGATCTACAATACTTGATTAATGAATTAAACAAACTGCCATTTTATTTCCTCCATCTTGATACCAGCGGGTGTTTAAGCGAACAAAGGACGACTAACAATTAAGGGGGAAATACTAAATGTAATATTTAATATGCAATATGTAATAATACCAATGAAATAATGTACGCCAATAAGAGCAGAGATGGTCTCAGTTATAGTTATAGTTTTCTGCATTCGTGTCGGAAGTTAACTCGAGTATACCTTGCGATTGGGCGGTATACGCACGCTACCACTGCACGGTATTTATTATTATTTTTTTTATTATACAGTCAGAGGTATTAATCAAATAATGACAAACGGAAACATAATAAAGATATACATGAACATATAATATTTAACATATATGTTACTTACCCGTAAATGGCGTCTTTGTCACGTTTGTGAACATCAGTAGTCACTTGCGAGGCGGCTAATGCTGTTGCCGCTGCAAGAACATGCTGAGATGGTTGGGGCGGAGGTGGCGGGTACTGAGGGTGTACTCCTGCCATACCCATGTGAGGGCTGTGGTGCAGGCTTGAGATCCCTCGGCCGGTTCCGTGGGGGTCGTACATTCCTGCACCTCCACCACCCCCGGCGCCCTCGAGATAATTCCCGTGCAGCCCGCCATCATCATACTGAAATTATTATTATAACAATTATTATTTATTATTTATCAAAAATAAACTAATTTAATTAAACTAAAAAATTATTTTTAAGAGTTTTAGATTTGAATGAATAATTATTTAAGCATCGATTTTCGGAGAAGCAAGACAGATAGTGGGGCAAAGTTCGTGGGGCGACAGACGGTGATGATAATGACGATATGCTCTCTTCATAAACGGCACTCGAGTCAGTCGATATTATTATTACCGTAGTTCGTAATATATAGTAATATAGTATAGTAGTGTTGTGTGCGATATGTAAGCGTGAATGTCGATCCAAACTGGGTCACACGGACGCAACACATGGGACATCAAACCGTCTACCTCCTTGTCACACGTTAAATAATAACATACAAAAAGTATCCGCTGTACTTTGCTAATACAAGCCGACACCTGAATTAATGATATGTATTTTATATACGCGAAAAAAATAAAATTTTTTTTCCTTTTCCTGCTGCTCATTGTTAAGCCCACAGGTGGCCAGACACCAAAAAAATATCCTGACGTAAAACGAATTTTCCGTTTTGCTGCATCCAATAAATTTTGAAATCGCTGCTTAGGTAATAATTACATATAATTAATACAATTAATATTATAGCACCAATTAATTGAGTAATTAATGAATTAATTAATTTAATAAGCGTATAAGAAAAACGTACATGTTAAATATTTCGCAACAATAAGCTTGACAGCCGTCAACTTAAATAATTGTATTGGTTACGGTAATTATGGTTATTTGAATTATGTCAATTGTTCAGATTGCAAACGGATTTTGGTTAAACAGGATACAAACTACCGAACAATTCGTCGTTACATATTGTGTAATATATGTGTTTAGTTTGTGTGTCTGGACACAGACGGGCATCGAGTTAGCTGGTTGTCTCTTGCGGCAATACATATACACATATGTGATGTGCATATTTGCATAAAGAGCTTTTGACGGATAGACGCATAGATGCGGGAATAACATTCTGATGGTGGCGTGATGCTAATTATCATTCCGGATTCTAATAGTCGTGACCACGGATAATAACACACATGTATATGTTATGTACGTATATATTACACACATGCACACATGATCGTCGTTAAATATTTTCTTTTGAGGACTGCACTTAACTAAAAGCTAAAAGTTGGTTTGCAGTTAATTTTTATTTAAACTCAAAATATTTGATGAATCTTTTGAAATAAAAAGCCCGAAAGTCTTCCGAGAGATTCGATACCGGAATAAAAATAAATAGCTGCTAAGATAATTTACATGGTCACTGACATAGAGATATCAGTCAACTGGCACCACCACTACACATGCAGTGGAATATTTTAGAGGGGCCTGGCCATTGGAGCGAGCGAGAAAGTTCATCAGAGTGTATTTGTCGTAAATGTTTTAATATTTTTTTAACGAAAATTAAAAGAAAATTTTAATTTTTATCAGACCTTGGAAAATTTAGCATTTTATTCGATGCAAAAGTATTTTATTTTTTATGTGTATTTAATGTTTGAAATGATATAAAGAATTAATGGACCTCCGACGGAAGCTGTAAAATTTTTCCAAGTTTATATATAATGACAAGAGATAATTTTTCTATTAGGAAGATTTTTTACTCAGAAAAAAAAATTTTTGTCAACCGAAAAAATCAATCAGGAAGATCAGAATAGTCTTTAATAAATTTTTTTGAAGAAAAAAAATTGTATTTGCTCAAAATAATTATTGTCTTCATAAATATTCTTTTTTTTTAAACCAAGAAAATTTTTCTTTTACCGAAGATTGATTTTTTATTTAAAGTTTAAAAAAGACAATTTAAAGTTTAAGAGAAAAATTTTGACCAATTATTTTTTTAAAAGATACTCAAGTATTAAAATGCACTGACAAAAAGTAAAATAATTATAAATTTATTATCTTTATAATAGTAAAAATAAAAACACAAGCTTAGCTTAGGATTGAATCAATGGTACACGTTTCGCTGGACATTATTTGTAGTGTAATGTATAAAGACGCTTAGAGACATGGTTTCACTGCAAGTAAATAAAAGGGACTCGAAAGTTTCCTTACTCATACTTATACTGATACATTGGATTTGCGGAATAAGAACGTGCAAGGAAGTTGTCTCAGCTTGGAGCTGTCACGTGCATCGAACTCTCGTGGCTGATGCTGTAGTTTATGCTACAAGATACACCGGCTATTCCTGTAGCTTTATATTATCATCTAATGGATAGTTGGATACAAATGTGTGTGTATTTGTGTGAGTGTGTGTGGTATGGCATGGTATGTGATGTATAATAAATTTTTAAAAACTTTGGCGATCATCCTGCAGGGTATACACACATTTCGTTCGATGGCTATTCGCCCGGTTTCAGACTCTAATACTGAGAAGAAATCCGTAAAACCACAGACACGCGAGATCATACAACACGCACGCACGAAACTAAACCACAAATACACGTAATACAAGTTAAGCGTATTATATTTATTTATTTATTTATTTATTTATATATAGGAAGGTATATAAAAGTATGTAATGGAACGTTTTGAGATATTTTCCAACGGGATTCCAAATTAAGCGGTGAAATCTTCAATGTCAAATGACTCGTGTCAAATACTTAACTGCTGTACTATTAATCTTTTAGTTTCATTTCAAAGAGAAAATGTTTTGCTTATTTTTTTTTTGTTTTTTATTTAAATATTGATATCTCAATCTTTTAGAAATTTAAATCCTACTCATTTAAGTAATGTGAAAAATTATTCTCGGTGGTGAAAAAATTACACTTGGCACTTTTTAATTCAGTGTAAATAATTTTAAAACTTTTGGTGATACGAAAAAATTTTTTATTAATTCTTTGAAAGAAAATAAATATTCACTTTTCACTGGAAAAATTTTTAGTAATTTTATGACCAGATAATTTATGACCACATAAAAGATTAAATAGTCATTAAAAAATTGTAATAAAATTTTATCACTCCAAATTTAAAAATAGTTTCGGACTTATCAATTTTTAGCACCGATAAATAAAAAAATAAATAAAAAAAAACGTAAATAAAACATGAGTTAAGTGAAAAAAAAAACTAATAACAATTTTCTGACAGAATAGGAATCCCGCGATGACGATCGAACTCGACAATAAATTCAGTCCCAACAGCATTTGATTTATGATCTCGTTAATCGCGGTTATTATCTCTCACAAACTAGACCAAATTTTCATCACCTTTTTTTAATTTACTATTTAACACTAGCACTAGTACTAATATTTTGTTCGCTGCTCCAATAATTGTCTTCAAACATCAAACACTGAGATAATAATAGATAAACTAAGAAATATTCATTCATATTTATGAACGTACTTGACGATGAAACGTAAATAAATGTATTTATATTGATTCTAGTCTATGACTCTAGTGATTATATATATATATTTTTTGTATCATTAATCCACGTAATTGATGACGTAAAATTTATTGTTTACTAATTTTATCGAACATATATCCAATAATAAATGTAATATAATAACGACAACAATATATAGAAATACAATTTACAATTTTCATCTTTATTATTTCCTCAGTCTTTCTCTCGACAATAATAAAAGATTCGGTCTTATCATTGATTTTAGATAAATATAATTTTGTGTAAATTTTTTTATCACGCTCATGTCTGATATACTATCACATATGCCTGTATAAATGTATATGTAAGCATGTAATGTGTGTATTTTTATAACATACCACGATAACTTTTTTCACATCGTCTACTTGTAAGTATATACATATATCGGTAGTCTTTTATATTTATTGCGACATTTATTTTAATTCTCACATATTTTATAAATAATTATTTATAACAAATATAAATTATTAAAAAATATTGAATTAAATAAAAAACAAATTTATAATAAAGCGACTGCGAAGAACCTGGTGTTCACTTTTATCAGACAGTGGGTTTCACGATGCGACGGCAAGCGAACGGCGAGTATACCCTCGACAATATTATATATTAAATTTATCCTCATATTTTATAAATTCCCGTCACTCAGAACGCGATTTTCAATGATAAAAGTGAGTGCAGGATCGACAGAAGACAACGAGTATAACGAACAACGACCAGAGAGTTTAAGTTTTAAAACGCGATTCAAGAATTAAATTATTTTGCAAAGTAAAAACGTGCTTGCAATGACAAGTACCCAGCGCAGTGAATCGCAAATGTCGATAATCGCTTCAGCTTATTTTTCACCACACATATTTTATTATTATTTATATTTTATATTAAGTTATCATCACAACACTCGTCTTTGTCTATATAATAAAAATTTATCAGTGTATTAAACACATAACACGTACTATAGATTTTATTAGCACACTAAATCAGATATGCATTTCGATAATCCTCGTAAATAAAAAGAATCTTCAATTCGCGAGTAATAAAAAATAATTTTTCTTTTCTCGATTAGAAAAATATGTACTCATTAATGATTGATGACTATCATTGTGATTATAGTTATAGATCGGGTCTTATTGAAAATCTGCGTGTAATTCTTTTTGACATATTCACAACAGTAAACGGAAGCACGTGCGTCTGTAAGCACCATTGTCCATTTTAATTTACTTTAACTATTTATATCGCCAATTCCTAATCCCAAAAACATAATACAGAGTATTGAATGTAATAAAAGATGTACATTGTACTTATTAGCGGTTTGTAAAATGTACGACTAATGTTAATAACACATTTTAATGAATCTGTCGTATAAACACAGCATTTTAAAATTTAAAGACCGTCCTAAACCACACTACATTGTAATTCCTATTATTAACTCATATTCACTCGCCCGTATCAACGTGCATTAAAAAAACATTAATATATGAGGACGATAATAACACACGACGCTTAACGTTTTATTTTGTTAGAATACTAACAAACTATTTACACGAATTGTTGTTACCATCTGTTTTTAATAAATACTTAAGCGCTACAATTTTACTTTTAATTGCAGTTCTGTCAAGTGACATCCAGTCTTCCGACGGTTCAATGAACAAACTTTTATGTAAGTTAAATAAGGTGTGTATTTATATATAGAGATTTTTTTTTTGTATTTTTATTAAGTTATCAAGTATTGAGAGTGTAAAATAAAAAAAATCAAAAGTTTTTAACAAACATTTTTTTTAAGTTTATGAAGAAAAACACTTTTTGTAAAATAAATGACTGAATATTTAAAAAAAATGTCTTGTCATTTTTTACTTTATTATTTTTTTTTTGTAACAAATTACTCCAAACGTAAAACTGAAAAAATTAGAGCGTTCAAAATTATTTTTTAAGACAACAATTTCCAAATCTTTAAAATTTGAAGTATTTTTATTTAAACTCATAATTTTATCAATTTTTGATCTGGAGTTCTTCAAACTAAAATTTTTTTTAGCTTCTCTTTTGCCATTAAAAAATTTTTGGAGCAAAATACCCGCATTGTATTTATAAAATAAATACTTAAATATTTTTTTCAATCGACAAAACTCTCTTGACTGATACTTAAGATGTATTGATGACTAAAATTTGAAAAAGTACTAAGAATAAAAGTACTGAAACGTACCCTTGGCTGCGCCATGAACGCCCTGGCCGCGCCGGGGAACTCTGCGTGCTGAGCCACCGTAGCGGCTATATTTTCTCACAATAAAAGACGAGTTCCACTTCACACTTCACACTCCCTGCACACTACTCTCTTATATTTTCCCGCAATATTTTGTCTAGTAACAAGTACTCCAAACGAGTAAGATTCCCACGTGATAAATAACAATGTCTAGCAACGAAACGCGCTTTTACTGATATCTCAGCAAGCCGATAATGATATTCGACCAGTCAATCACTGGATACTGATCACCAGCAGAGAAATGATTTATCAGGATAGTGAGATCCTCGCGGCAGATATTCCGCGCGATCCCGCCCTCCTCCGGGCAGCAACACTCGACTAGTTGACTCAAAGCTTGTCAAAAACAATGGTTGACCTTTTAATCTGACGGCTGATAGGGCCGCCGACGTCAGCAGTGCGTCGAACACTTACTATCGACAGTATTCCCGTGGTGTCTCATCCTTGCCACTCCAAACAATTTCTTCCGAATTTCCAAATAAATAAATAATCTTTATTAGCGTAAATTGAGCTCAGTTTCACGCATCAACACACCTGTCACTTTGTTTCACTGACAGATCAAAATTAAAACTCAATAATTATCAATTAATTAATAAATAATTTTATCGGCACCATCAGATGCTTGATGTTGTGAATGGTAATATTATTTTATTGCTTTGGACCGTTTGAGAGATACTCCATTTAACAAATCACACGTTAAACGTTTGTCCCGCGCACTACTAATCACCGTACTTGTATATTTATTATTTATTAATATATATATTTATTACCTGTCAAACTTATTGACAAGCTCAACAGTGTTGGCTTGCTCAATTAAAAAAACAACAACAATATAAATATAAATATTATAATGATAATAATAATAATAATAAAGATAATAATAATTAAAATGACAATAATAATAAAAATATCAATAATAATAATAATAATAATTAATAATGATAATAATAATAAAAATAATTAAACGCGAGGAAATATATTTATTCACTCATTCATCACCAAATATATAATACAAAGATCACGATGTCACTGTGCACGAGTTATTATACATCCTCGGATCCGTGATGTGTAACAACTAACTTTTCTGAGGGGGGCTGAGGTCGTTGTCGATAGTAGTGCTGCAATGGTGGGGGAATAATACTCCTTGGCTTTAAGTAGCCGGTTGAGCACGCGGGGCTGCTGATAATATATATACGTATACACACAAATATATATAAATATGTATGTATGTATAAGAGTATCCAGGACTTTATCTGGAGGACTTTATTGTCTCAATAATAATCTTGTCTACCAAATATAGAAAACTCTTGAAAAACCAAAATCAACACACACTTATAATATCTTGGAGTTCTCGAAATTCGCGCGCGAAAACGAGACACTTTTAAATCCGAAAACGCGGGAAATATATACTAACTGTTGATTTAAAAACTGAGCGCTTCTTACCACTCCGATTGGCGCGCGTTTATTCAAATGCGTTACGTGTTACTGTTAACTTAAAAACAAAACTGTTGGCAAAATAGCCGTAGAAATATATATTTATTTCCTTTTCCGAACTTTTATTGACGGCTCCAAAAAACAGTGAAGCAAACAGTTAAAACAGTAAACAATGCGGATGGTAATTAACAGTGGGTGTATTTCAAGCTCAGTACAACAACAATAGATTAAAAATGCCGCGTGTAACGTTTTCAGTGATAAAAAGTATTAACACCGGGCGTGCGACCGTACGCCGTCGAGCAACCGAAGAAGCGAGCGAGCGTGGAAGCGCCTAGCGTTTAGATCCTGCGCGGTCCGCAGTCGTTCGCCAACTGTCAATCACCGCGGACACTCCGCAAGAGAGTGGGAGGTCCAGATGCCCCGCCCCCTTCAACCAACCAATCCGCATTCAATCCGCCCAAACGCGACTAGCGCCACGGACGGCCGCGCTCGGCATTAACAGTACCTCCGCCATCGCTACACACACACAAGCTCATCCTTACTATTCTCCCTCTCTTTCTCTGCAAGCTCGCATCCTTCTCCGACTCGCGGTTCGAGGAATCAAGATCTCTCGCTCCTCGATCCGGTATCCCCCACCCGAGCTTTCATATCTCTCGCCACTCTCTCCCGGGTTCTCCCTCTACCAGTCTGTTGGTTGTGCGTAGTACTCACGGTTCGCGCGCGCTACCAGCCAAACTGATTGTGAGCTTGCTTTTACTCGGCTCCGATTTTGCTCCGGCGCTCTCATCTCGGGTATATCTTTTCCCGCTCGGGCAAAATCCGCCGCCGTTCACTTTCCACTTTTTGCTTTTCCGAGCTTATTCCAGTTTTAGAAGCAAAATCATGCCAAAGTTTTGTTTTTGACTCAGCCAAACTCTTTTTTTAAATCACTAGAATTTAATTTTCGCGCGCAAGCGCGCGCCCTGACTATGGAGTTTGCATATATTTTCATGCTTATGATATATTCGACCAATCACGTTACGAATAGTTTGATGCCACATACATTTCATCTCAATTTTAAATGAGGATCATTTTTATAAATATTTATTTTTGAAGTGAAAGGTGTAGAAGGGTTCAGACTTATCCGACGGACAACTGGATGAGTCTCATAATTTCCCGTGTCTAATGTCTTCTTTAATATACAGGAACATCTTACACGTTTGTAATATTCCATGTCAGTACATGACAGACTGTCTACACAGATTAATCCAAGTATTGCTCTAATTCACTTTGTCTGTCTTACATGGGGTTCTTCGTTATGTTATACATATTATAATCTATTATATATATATTCATACATATATAAATATCACATAATATAATATAATCCATAACAATAACCTCTTACCTCTTACCATTCAATCTTCATTATGTTACACTGTGTAACAGATATTATATATTACATTAGCATCAGCCGTGTGTAGATGCACTGGAACATTAAAACAGCTGATTTGATCTTGGTGAAAATCGCTCACTTATGGGTACCTTATATATCTTGTATTGCAGGTTCGGTGATTGGACGGGATATAGGCAAGAGAATTGGGTCGCGAACATGCGGTTTTGAACTTTGAATGGTATTCGGGTTTCGGGTGAATAATAGTCCTGCTAGTCACCCGAATAAGGCACCCCGCCAGCTCCTAGGGAGCAAAGGGGCTTTGAGTTACGTTCCTCAATATCCGGGCAGAAATACTAGACCAACATATTATATGAGCATACAAATACAAAGTTATAGTTATGGTTATAGTTATCTAACACAAAGTCTGCTCTGGTTTACTACTCAAGGAACATCGTCAGACTCATCATTTACAAACACCTTCTGCATTATTTATGCACCAATTATTTGAGCCCAACAATGGATAATTGTAAGTCGAAGGTGACAATCACTGGCACTTAAGTAGAGCATTTCGCGAAATAATTACCTAGCAAGTGACCTAGTTATGGTTGGAGTCTTAAGTCATAACATAGGGCATTAGATGGATCTAATCTACGTACTTTTGGGAAAATAGTTAATTATGTTTAGTATAACAAGTTTAGTTGACGATTTTGAGCAGATAAAATGCACTAGGTTGACAATGAAACACGTTTTGACTTGTAATTAGCAAGCTTAACTTTAGGCTTAACTTTGAACGACCAGAGCGTTATTGGGGTACGCTCAACGCTCTACCTGATGTATACAAACTTTTGTTGGACAGATTTTAGTGAACCAAGGCCTACAAACTGAGAAATAGAATAAGGAGAGAAGGGTCATCTACTCGGCTACCTAAGAACAAATACAACACCCTGTTATTACGTTATAAATCACAAATATAATACTTTACCGTGTACAATATACACACGACTAAGTAAATATAATGCACAAAAGAAATGGAACTTTAAAGTTATTTGTAATGAATAAGTAGCTCTTAAACCTTTTTTCGGTTTAATGTTTAACTCAAAAGTCAGAATCCCAAAAGGGGCGTAATTTATAATTCATTTAAATATTATTAATGAGTCACATTTTCTACTATTATCGATATTTATTATCTTTTAAGACAATCTTAATCCTTTAATAACCTCCAGCATGTTTTGTCAATGACAATGATACTAAAGTCAAAATTTACTGTCTAATGGCTAATGCCCATTTTGAATTTTGAAATTCCTCGAGTTTCTTTGTCCGAAAATTTTCCTAATTATTTTTATGTTTATTCAAATTACTTTCAGTAAATTTACTTTTCACAGCTGATTATTATTTGGAAAATAATTACTCTTTACTGCTGAAAAATATTTTCTAGGTTTGACTCACATGCCAACAAAAAAAATAATATTTAATTCTATTTTTTTACATTTATATTTATATAAATAATATATAAGGGTGTTTCAAAACCTAACGAGCGCGACTACACGAATAGTTGTTATTTTTCCTCCCGTATACCGTATATAGCCAATGCTGGCGTATTAACTCTCAGTATCGTTATTTTTTTTTATTAAAAACCACTTGTGAGCCAATTAAAAGGCTTCAAAGCGACCTGTAAATTTTATTTCAGCTAAAATGTGTGTTACAGTTATATTAATATGCATGAATAAAGTAAACGCTTACTATCTAGTAAGATCGGCTAATTTGAATATTAAATTGAAATAGACGACTGTTCTAATTGTTATTATAGTTCAACAAAAAAAAATATTCAACATTCAAATCAGTATAGAATAATAACAATAATAATAATAATAATAATATTTAAAGATGCGAGCGTGAGAAAGAAAACAAACCGGATGGCTTTGTGTTGATTGGAATTTCAACAGACACAACTCTAGCTTTTGTGAATAACTGCTCCGTGGATAAATGGAACGAATATTTTTTTACGACCTTAATTTTCAAGACCGCTGGAGATTAAATTAATATTTGTATTTATATTTATATATTTGTTCATGCAAACTCGAGTCAATAGCCAGAATTTCCCATGATTGTTATAAACGCCTTTGTAACATCGCTCAACTCTGAAACATTATCACCAGGCGAATCGATATAACGCCGCGAGAATTCGTGAATTTCACGGCTCGC